AAACTTGCTAGTTTCACTTTGATTTTTAAAAACTCAAGTAGGGTAACTCTGTTCGCAAAGAGTGCGCTTTTGTGAAGAGGGCGCCACCAAATTTTGAGGACACTTTTTTAATTGGCTCAAAGAGAGAAGTGGCCCATCTTGTTATGTACTATCATTGTAATAAATAACAATACACACAGTAAAGACTGAAAAAAAAGGTGGTCAACTCTGAAAAGTTATATATCTAGTCCCACCATTAGCATTGTTATCACAATTATAAAGACAAAAATACCCACAAAGTTATTTAAGTAAAAATATGAATGAAATCATGACATCAAATTATTACAAAAATTTATGTTGACGACCATAATAGTATGATGACAATTATATTATGGAGATGATGACAGAATGCACCATGATTAAGATATTAATGATAACAATGAGGTCAATAATCAAATGATGATAACAATATATCGGTAATCATGACAATGATAATGACGACTAGCTAATACTCGACTGGAAATACATTATTCCTTAATGGGACATAAATTATTACAAAACAAGGACCCTAAAGAGATTGCAAAAAGCCTCATAATAAAATTGCTGAAAGAACTTTGTAATGATTACATTTGACAGTTATACACATCGACAATGCAAGAAGAGGCAAATCCCTCATCCACCCGAGAATGAGCTATAAATCACTCATTTTTTAAATTTTAGTGAGTGTTGTACGCAACTTACAACACAAATAATATAAAGTCATGTAAGTGCTGAAGATCAGAGGTGTGTTTTTGGAGGGTAACAAAGGAGGAGAGATAATGGTGATAGATATTTGATTGCGAGCGCCGTAAAACCCTCTACTATTAAAAAAAAAAAGAAGATATTTGATAGGAAAGAAGGAGCAAACCACATCATAGCACCACCAAACCACCACTCACTCACAACGAAAAGTTGAGAAAATTTTTGTAATCATTGAGCCTCTTCACCTCAAAGTAAAAAATCACCCCAGAAATATAAACACACATCCCACGATTGAAGGAATATTTCGGTGAAAATTTGTTTCCTATTTCAACCTGTGTATCATTTTCATAGCCCTGGATTGATAGCAACCTTATTAAGGCAAGAATTATTTTGGCAGAGAGATATGTACAGCTACGGTTTTCATGAAATGTGCTCATGTATTGCAATTACGGAAAAGGCCAAAATAAAAGATGGGGAAAACAGATTCAAAGGCATGCACCAATTAGAAATGGGTATTTTTTAAAGCATAAAAAAAAGAAATTATTACACACTGAAAGACAGACGAAATTATGATAATTCTTTTGTTTTTGTTTTTGTAAAGTGTAACTGCATAGGTCATATGAGCGCACGGGACACTCCTAATATTTTCAGTTCGTAGGAAATTTTGAATTTTTGCCTGGGTAGCGGCCGAAGCCTACTCTTATCGATTTTAGACCACCAAGGGATCTTTAACGTGCGCAATTTGCACACAGGCCTTCCGAGAAGGCTAGGTGTAGATCTTTCCTACCAGAAGATCAGGGGTGTGGCAGAAAGACAGCAGTAATGATAATTCTATTGAACAAAGAAAGGTACCAAAAGTCAGATTTTGACCATTTTGAGTTAAAGGTTTTACGTTCTAGGAAATTCCATGCTGAACACAGGAGTCTTTGAATTGTTTAGATATCTCAAGTAGTTTTTGAGATATTGCACATTTTGCAAGGTGGTGTATAAAAATATATTTTTGAGAAAATGAGCTTTTAAGTTTAACAATTGTGAGAACACATACAAACTTTTTAAAAACGATATTTTAAATGTATTTGTTCGTGGAAAATTCATTTCCAATTTGGCATTCAGTTGACATCAATATCAAGAATATAGAATTCAACGGTAAAACATAGCAGGGAAGAGAAAACATGCTTCAAGAATAGATATTAACACCTTTTAAAAGCAGTTTTCACTATTTGTTTTTATTATACCCTACCCTCAAAATAATTCAAAATAAAATATTTAGAAGTCAAATCAAAATGAAAACCCTTTGAGCACATTGCAATATAATAATGGTGGATCTATCATTTTTTTATGGAAACACATTTTGGTCAAAAAAGTGATTTTTTTCATTATCAGCCTGTAGCTCGAAACGGTCTGGGGTGACTTTTGGTACCTTTCTCTAGGCGCACACACAAATTATTGCTTTATAGCTGGACCAGAATCAAAAATACAATACATACAAAATACTTATTACACACGAAAAGATGGGAATACAGGTTAAAAAAAGGCATGCAACAATTAACCATGAACTTTTTAAAGCATACAAAAGTGAAATTCTTACACACTGAAAGACAAGACGGTTAATAATAATAATTCTCTCATACAAATAATCTCACATCAGGTACAGTGGAGTCCACTTGAACTAAAATCAGCAGGATGGCCAGATTTTCTTCAGTCTAACCAGAATTTTAGTTTAAAGAGGTTGCTTGTTCAAATAGAAAGAAAAACTTTTCATTTATCGTTATTTTGGATTAACCATTTTCGGTTTACGTGGACCTCTGCTGTATTGCTTTAAGGCTTTATCAGAATCAAAGATAGAAAAATATAAAAAGTAATAGATACTTTACAGTCTGTACAGCCACCACATAGAACACTCCCAGAGCGCATGCACTGGATCCATAACAGGCTCTGCCAGAGACACATTTACTGAAAAGCACACGACACTGTCCAAATTCACGAGAGCCATTGAGTCCCAAAGTTCAAGGTCTTAGACGAGACATCTCGTCATGGTCATAACAGTTCAGTTTTAGTAGAGGTTTTACGGTGCTCGCAACTGCACGAGGTCATATGGAGCGCCAAAAGATTAGAGGTGTTACAAGAGAGTAACAAACATAAAAAAGAAGAGGGGGAGATAAGGACGATAGATGTTTGACGGGAAAGAAGGAGCGAACCACACCAGAGTAGGCCTACCTGCCATTCTTTCCAGGTTTCTACTTAAGGGCATGGCAAAATACCAGCAACTAGTTTCTTATCCTCGATATAGCAGGGTATGGTTTCCTGCACTCAAAATCCAATCATTAAGACATTTTCACCCATAATGTGGCACCGGTGGTCAAATGGTTAGGTTCTCCAAATCTCAGCTGTAAGGTCATGGGTTCAAATCCCGTCAAGGATCCGAAGTTCTGCCTTGGAGAAAGGCACTTCACATACATATCTACCTAATTTCGTCCAGGTGGGAATGGGTACCCTGCTATAGACAGCGAAGATCTTGTCAGTATATTAGTGTTTGAGCGCTTCATTGGCTGTTCACATTGTACGCTTCCCGCAAAGTTGAGAATGTTTCAGAGAGTTCTATGGTCTGCTTGGGTATTATAGTGATGAAGCACAATTGAGCATGCTGTAGAGCAATTATTACAATTGCAATTATCATTATTATTATTGTTGACTGAGGTAAACACTATTTTCTCTACATTTTTCTAAAATTAAAAAAAAAAACAACATATACATGACCTCCGCAATAGTGTTATGACAGTCAGGATAACTGGCACTCCTCACCAGGAGCCCACTAGACACATTTCATCAGCCAGCTGTTAAAATGCAAGAGGCTCAAATTTTGGAACATTTTTTAACCTGAAATTTCATTATCTAAGGTATCAGTATCCTGTACTTCCGAAACATTTTGTTACATTTGACATTCTAAATGTTGAAAATGAAAAGAAAAAATACATGTAGGTACAGTTGTTAATACTTACAGTGCCGAAGGCTTGTATAGCGAAAACCCCTCAAGTACGCACCAGTTTAGAATGCTGAAGCCATGGTAGAATTTTTTTTCATTAAAAAAAACTTTGGCAGCACAAGAAACACGTTTTAAAAATTCATAGAGGTTCATCAACCATTCAGCTATCATAAAGAGTGACTTCCTCTGGTATTTACTTCGGTGTAGGGGGTCCATCCTTTGTTTAATTATGTTGAGTGCGCCTGGTCGCGTCGGCGCCTAAAGTCGCCAGTGGTAGTGAATGCAAACTACGGCCTTGCGAGTCGCCAACGGTACTGTAAGTGTTAAGGGAATGAAACATTTTGTTTTTTCTCCAGTAACATTTTGCTTTCTTGGTTTAGTACATTTTAACAGCTTGCCAACCGACGGTATACCTCGCCGGTTTTATCGGAGGCAAATCTTCTGCAGGTCGGAGGTCAACGTTTTCTCCTCTTTGCCCTGAGCCTTCTTGGTGGCCTCCTTGACGTCAAAACATTTCCACAGACGGATCGTCTCATCAGCCGCGGCACTGGCCACTGTGGTGCCGTCCGGGGACATGGCCATGCCAAGGATGCGAGACGTGTGGCCTGGGGGGAACAAACACAGGGCTCATCATAGAGATCAAACATAACAGGATGGAAAAAAAAAACCCAACAAATAACCCCCCCAAAAAGCACAAACAATAACACACAAAAAACTATCTATATACGAAAATTTTGTCACCTCCACTAACCCCTTCCTCCTCCATCTCCCTCCACCCACCAACTTCTCCCTG